GGGAAAGAGAGAATGTCTCTTTGTTTCATGTTACTTGCCACTACAAGAATTTTCCCATTGAGAAACGGGAAATTTAAAACAATGAATCGAATAGAAATATTGCTGGTCCAAGTACCTGCAGCCCATTACAAACCTCTGCCACAGCAATATATATTCTTTTTCTATATGCGCTCTCTCAATTTAGCTTTTGTTCTCTCTCTCCCATTCGATCTATTTTTCTCATACTTTTCCAGATAATTACAGTAGAAATGAAATTATCACCCAGCAAACGACATGGCAATATGTGTGCAAGGCTGATCTTGGGAAACCAATAAGACAAAAAAATAAAAATAATAAATCCCAAACAGGTCTTTTTATTTAACATAAGGCCAAAGAAGCTATCAGGCGTTGCTGAATACTGTCCACTAACTGTACAAAATATTGACTGCATGCCTCGCAAACACCAAAATATCCGCTGGAATGCCATAGAAATAAATAACTTCTGCTATAAACACATGAAAACATATCAAACTGTTATCTCTTTAAACATATTGTAAATAAAAAAATTACCAGTACTTCTACACAATAAATATTAAGAAACCATTGACATAGTTGAAATGCACTCATATAAATTAACAACTTTAATTACATTAGCCAAACAGACATTGGTTAAAGAACTGCATGTAGTATGCCAAAAAAACAAAAAACAACAACAAAAAAACAAAAACAAAAATCAAAATAAAACAAACAAACAAACAAACAACATAAACCACAGAACATAAAAGGTTTTAAAACAAAACAGGCTTCAGATTATCTTGGCTTTCATAATTATATTTTTCTTTTAAAGAAAAATATCAACCCATTGTCAATGCACTGTTTTTCAAAGCATTTAAATAGAGGGTAAACCCCATCGGAAATTAATACAGAAGAAATGATTCACTTTATGCATAAAAAATAAATAATAATGTAGCTGAGACATGTGGTTTGCTTCTGCTCTTGAAGACGTGAACAGCTTCTAAGCATTCATTTTTCTCTGACCCATACAACAGCTTCTCAGTGATAAAGGGTTTAATTTAAACACACACAGTGTCCACCCCCAAGACTTCTGCCCACTTCTACAAGTTGCATTTATTGTGTAGGTTTTCAGGGTGACTAAGTTTTCTCTACCTTGAAAAGGGAAGTCGCCAAAAAGGCCCACAGGAAATCATTTTATCAAGTGAACATGATAATTTGAATCTAAGCTTAATACCTTCTCTGATTTTTAGAGTCATCTTGATGTCCAATCCCACGAGGGTGACAAAAAATTCACTTGCTCTATCTAAGAGGAGAAGGCAGGTACTCTCCTTAAAATCGGAGTGTGGAATCAATCTTAAATAAGTATGGAATTTGTTGATCTTCAGGGACAAGAAAATCCCAACTCAGTGTGCCAGAATTCACCTTACTTTTTGGAAAAGAAAAGAAAAGAAAATGTTAATCCAATCTACAACATATTTATCATTCTTAAAAAAATATTTGGAAATAAAGGCTTTTCAGAGGTTTGAAGATTGGTGTGGGTAGATTTTTAAAAGCCTAGAGATGGCCCTACAGAAGGAGTAGAGAGATGCAGAGATCAGAGGGAGCCACACTTGTTTTAGGAAAACAGACAAGGAAGACCCAATCTGGTAGAATTTAAAAGCTTTTTCTTTTGACCTCATGCTATTCCATGAAAAGTGTGGCTGTTTGCAGAGCTGCATAACTTCCAAGATTATTAAAGATAGTAGTAATTTATCATTTTATTTCAAGGCCGTATACCCTTAATAAAATATTTTGGTTAAAGTTCAAAGATGTGTAATTTAATGTAAATGAAATCTTCCCATTAAAATATTGCCATATGGAATATCATTTAGCTCTGCTTCTTATTACTGTGGCCACTCATCAAACCCCATCGTACCTTCAATACGTCCAGGACTTAAAGGCTTTAGTACATGGCATACGTATTTGAGATGAATGGAAGCCACAAAGGGGAATCAGCTGTTTTTTTTAACCTCTTTTTGCTTTGGCCATTGCCTGGGCCAGCTCTGTTATCACACAGTGAGCTACGACTTGGTTTCCCAGGCTATTTACAGGTTCCCATTAGTTCCACTGCCAAAAAAAGAGGCAGTTCAAAAAGCCCTCCGACCTCTAGACTTTAGTAAATATAGCCAGGTAACGACATTAAATCTGCCTCCATACAGCCTAGTGTGATAGCAGACTGATCTGGGCTATTTCTCAAGACGAGCTAAACCACCTTGAGTAATATTTGGTTTCTCACTGATATTTTATTTTCCTACTATTAATATTTTTTTAAAATCTATGAATTGACATAGGGCTGAAAGCTTCAATATTTTGCAAAATGCTAATAATGTAATTTTCTGAATTAGACTTTGTTTTTCCAATTTTTGCAAACTTCAAACAAGTCAGTACAAATAAGGTTCTGTATTTTAAAAAGCACATAAATGAATAACTTCTGATCTAGGCAAGCTAAATACTGTAGAATAAATGAGTAACAATTTAGCTTTAAGCATGTACTTTGATATTTATAAAACACAGTGGTTTTTGTTTTTTGGGGTTTTTTTCCTTTTTGCATCCGAATCAATGCATACCAATCTATACATCAAGAGTTTTGGCTGTAAATTAAAATCTTCGCGATTTTTACTACTGTCCCCCCATCCCTGCTCTCCATTCTTTTCCTTACTCCTACTCTCTTAAACACCTTCCCCCGAATTGTTTATCGTTTTACTAGTGACAACATGATTATTGAACCCAGCTGTGCAGGGAGTATTTCTCACAACCAGACCTTAAGCATAAAAAAGAAAAAAAAAAAAACCCAAACACAACCACCTCTTTTATCCTGGCCTAAAGGTTAATTTCTGTCTGAAAAGCTTCTGATTTAAGATTGATTCCAACAGATAATACATATGTTATCCAAAAATAATCAGCCTAGATTGAACATGAGTTTCCTGTTTTGTTTTCCCAGCAGGGAGTAAATAACTTGTAGAATGGGGGTGAAGGACAAGAGAGAGGAGGGAACTGGATCCCTGTACATCGAAAGAGGGTCTTGTTGAATATTCACTGGAATTCCGAGGCTTTTTCCCATCCAAATTTCTGAAATGTGCCCACCTAGTTCAGAGTAAAAGCAAAAACGATAGCCTATCCTTCTTAAAAATACTGTGTTTTGCACACAAACATTCATTGCTTTAAGAACATTAAAAAATGACAGCCTGAAGTGCTTAAAATGTGTATGGACACGATGCGCCACATGTATACATACACACAGACATGCATGTGCCCGAGCACTGTATATATACACATACAAGCATGGAGCGTTCCATGAATCTGATTGAACTTGATAGCCAACAGTGTACAACTACTGTACATCCAGTATGAAATGTCCTGTTTCATGGATGTAAAAGGAGTCAAAAAACCAAACTTCTCAGGTCTTTCAAGCCTGAACACAATCCACCTTACTCAACCTTGGATCCCAACCCCTGACTCATCGACGGTGAATGATACCAACCACAGACAGACTGTTTAAAGGCTCACACAAATGTCTTTGGTGTATGTGTCTATTTTTTAAGGTACAAAATAATAATAATAATTAGAATTATAATAATAAAAATAGCTATTTTGTGTGCTGTAGCAGTTCTTTTATAGCTCACATTAAGTGCAGCTCAGAACCCGCCCCGCCCCACCCAAAGAAAATACTTGTTAAATAAGGATTAGACAGGTCGAACACCATTGTAGTGCAAATAGTAAACGATTAAAAAAAAAACACAACATTTACAAAATATAGAAATGTTTGGATCCAACAGATGGACAAACATATTCCTTTCAAGTATCTCTCCTTGAAGAAAATAAAAATTAATCAGGTTACTTCCAATACAAAAAAGTCTCTCTTTTTTGTTCTCTCTCAGGTAAACAGTTTCAAACCTATTAGGTTGCATAGTTCTAAGATCATAAGCACCTTAACGAAATGTAACTTGGTATTCATTTTTCCTTGATCTTTCATGCTTCCCATTCTTGTTCTCAATTTTTTTTTCATGTTGGTTTTTGTTTTGTTGTGGAAGTGGTGCAGAAAAAGGTGTGACCACCTGCACACTAGTGTTCTTTTGCCAGAATGTGTGTGTGTGTGTGTGTGTGTGTGCGTGTGGTGTGGAAATGCCTCTGTGTGTGTGGTGTCTGTATGGCGTGTGTGTCTGTGTCCGTGTGTGTGGGGTGTGTGCATGTCTTTGTGCAGCGTGTGTGTGTGTGCTGTGTGATGTACGTGTCTGTGTGTTTGTCCGTGTGTGTGGTGGGCTGTGTGCGTTTGTGTGCGGTTGTGTCTTTGTGTGTGTGCGTGGGCTGATATACACAGAGAGAGGGTCACACAGACATACCTTACGACCTGGGTTACTGGGTGGGAAAGTGCCTATAACTGGCCCTTTCAAACTCATGGCTTTCTAGATGCTATTTGGGTTGTGTCAGTCCACAATTACTGCAGACCGGACAGGTTGACTTCGAGGCTCATACCGAAAGGGAACCGAAAAGGAGAGGACAATATTCCCATTTGAGCAACTGCTGTCACCCCTTGAATGCTGGAGGGAGAAGTGAAGGGCACCCCATTTTCCCTCTCCCCCCAAATTCCCACCTCCTTCACTGTTTCATCTCTGAGCCCTGGCTAAGGAATTTCCCCACATCTTCCTTCATCTGCTTCAGGTTTTGTTTTTAGTTCATTTTTTTTTTTTTTTTAATTTCTATTCTTCTGGTTGTTTCAGTCGGAAACCTTAAACATGTCTTCATGTCACCACTGTCTTCTCTGGACCGTCTTGCTCCCATACCCCCTGGGCTGGCTGCTCTATGAGCACCCACACTCCTCCACAATCATGTTCTGGATGTCCTTCTTGATGATGTTCTGCCCGTCATCATAGTACAACATGGACATGGGTCTCAGCTTGGTGGGCACACAGCACGACTTGAGGTTGGCAAAGGGGCTGTGACCCCGCATGCGGTAGTGGTTGATGACCGTCGAGTGAAAGGACAGGGATGAGCCCGACGTTCCTGCTATGTGGCTGGGGCACTCACCCTCGCAGTAGTTGGCGTGATAGCCAGAGGGAGCGATGATCCAGTCATTCCAGCCAATGTCCTTGAAACTAACAAAGAACTGTTTCTTACAGCAGATGTTGACCTTGCCGTCACACTCCAAGCCCCGCCGCCGGCGCCGGTGAGGGTGGTCTTCAGACTGGCGGGCCTGCAGCATGAGGAAAGGTCTGTGCGACTGTTCCTTCTCCTCGTCCCCTCCCGCCCCTCCTTCTCCGTCCCTTTTCTTCCCTTCCCCCTCCTCTTCTCTCTTCTTTTTCTTGCCCAGCAGCACCAGGCTGGCGCCGGTCTCGTGGCACTGATCACAGGCAATCCGAATGTCCAGGGAGCTCTTGTCCTGGTCCCGCTGGATGCGGATGCAGCTGGAGACGGGGACAACTTGAGACGGGGAAGATGTCCCAGGTCCTCTTCCGAGCATCCACCACCTTCTCTGATATCAACACTTCATTCCTCTCCCCCATTAAGCCCACTTCCTCGGCCTCCTCCCCTGTGTCCCAGCCGCCCTGCGGGTGCTTCTGCTGCTGAAAAAGATGGATGGTGACTTTGGTCCGGGTCCTGTTGGCCTTGGGGACTTTCAGGAAGAGCCAGATTTCTGCACGCTCCACCACGGACAGGTCACTGCCTTCTTTGGAAATCTCAAAGTGCAGCGTCTTCCTGGCTGTGCCTGAGGACGAAACAGCCCAAGAGAGAGCAGGGATACTGTTAGTTCTGGGGTTCACGGCCACTCCCTAATTTCAGGCAAGCATGGGGGCCTCTGTTACAGACCCTCTCCAACCGGGCTCCTGAAATGAAGGCCCACAGATCTTAAGGACGGTTTTGACATTTTTAAATGGTTGAAGAAAACTAGGATGCTGTGACATGTGAAAATTATATGAAATTTAAATTTCAGTGCCCATAAAGTTTTACTGGCCCACAGCTAGGCTCATTTCTTTATAGGTTGTCTACAGCTGCTTTTGCACTAGAACTTGGATTTGAGGAGCCGTGACAGACAGCGCCCGTCTGGCCCACGAAGCTTAAGTGATTTACTCTCTGGCCCTTTCCAGAGAAAGTTTGTCAACTCTTGCTCTAGAAAGAAGAGAGTCTGGATCTGAGCGTGTCTGGGAGACTGGGTCTGTTAACTAACTAACTTAACCTCAGTTTCATCTTTTATAAAATGGGAATGACATAGTGACATTTGACCCATTATCCCATAGGTTTGGAAGGACCCAATGGGATAACATAGATGAAGACACACTATAAACTCTAGCAAGCTGTGGAAACACTATTATCCCCAACTCAAATATGCATGCACACACACACACACACACACACACACACACACACACACACCCCACTGTGTAAGTCTGCATGGCCTGTACCCACAGAGCTAGCCTACTCCTCCTCCTTGGCCACAACCCAGCCTTTTCCTTTATGTGCAAGCAGCCAGGCCGGCATGGAGTCAGGCCCCATCTCCCATCATTTCTCCATTAAGCAAGTAAAGGGATAATGGTAAAGGGATCTTTCCCACGGGTGTATCTGTTTGCATCACTTGTTCCTTCCAATCCTTTACTGAGTTCTTTTTGCCCTCAGAACTTTTTGCCCTCAGAACAGAAACTGCACAGAACTCTGGGCTCTGCCTGAGCTGCTCCCGCCTTCCAGTTCAGCTGTCTCCCACTGCCCCATCCTCATGGTACAGTCACGCAGCATGAGCATATCATACACTCTCTCACCTCCAGGCAGTGACACTTGCTGTTCTTTCTGCCGAGAAGACTCCTGCCCCTAAAACACCATCCTCAGTGCCTGCCCTTAATAAGGTTTCAGTTTTCAGACGGGACCACCCTCTTCCTAAGCCACCTCTGACATCTCCACCCACACCCCCCTGCCAGTCCAGCTTAGGACGCCCCAGGTCTGAGGTCCTGTCTGTGTCATTCACTGTCATAGCCCAGAATTTAGCAGAAAGTAGGCAGTTACTTGCTTCCTTATTAACACATGGAGGCGCCCTTAGCATTGAGTTAGATGAAGAGATCCATCTCCTACCCCCGACATCCCCCAGACCACTGCCGGCATGTACCTGCTTCCCACTCTGAGTACACGCATCCCGAGTCCAAATCTGACAACCATCTGAAAGTTCATCTTAGAACTCACAACTCCCTGGGAAGTGGGGTGGGGGTCTCCCTGCCTGGATTTCTATAGCTAACGGAAATCCAGCCATACTTATCACTCGCAGCCCTGAGATGTTTACGGTACTATACATTTTAGGCCCGGTTTCAAGTTCTCTGCGGCAGAAAGCAGGCTCTTCTGTGCGTGGCGAGCTGTAGATTCTGTTCTTAATTTAACACACTCTGCACAGTGCGATTGTGCTAGTGGTAAATTCACGGAGGCCGGGGCCGAGAAGGTTTGCATAGGGAAGGTGCTCCGGCATCTCTGTATAAACTTGGGAGGAACACTGGCCCTGATGGCGGTGGTGGTAAGGGGCAGACCTCGCATCTCTGGCGGGAGTTGAAATGAATCATGAAGTTAGGTTTATGATTAGATCACCAGAGCGGGGAGCAGTCAGAGGAGGAAACTGTCTTTTTTTAGGAAGCGTGATGACTTTTTTTTTTTTTTCCCCAAAATGGGAAGCCAGTACTCTCCTTTGCTAGAAAACGGCGGGGGGCTGGGGCGTTGGGGGGAGGGGGCTGGTCGTTATTGTTTGTCTTCTAAGAGAGCAAAAGAGGAGAGACCAGGAGACCGAGCTTCATCGTTTCAATCTAAAAGGACGGTCGGCCGGCTGTAGACTTAACGTGGTACGGTCCTGCCGAGACCGGAGGAAAAAGCTGCCGGAAGCTGCCCCAGGCTCTGCGAACCGGCCCGGAGGAGAATGTGGTCCCCTCCAGCTCCGGCACATCCGCCCTGCTCCACCGAGGGTGTTAACAAGCTCCCCGCCCGTTCCCCCTTCTGCTTCCGCCCCCGGCCGGCTTCCGAAACCCTAAACCGCACAGGGTGCCACTCTAAAGACAAAGAGGTAGTAGCTGCAAAATTAGAGAAGCCGGAGGCCACAAGGTTCTGTTTTGTTTTTCTAGGAAAG